TTGTAAAAGTAACAAGACAAGTAATAGTCATGTATCCATCACAACGCATCACCATATGTGGTGTTCTTGTAAATTGTTTATTTCTAAAATGGCTATGCACAGTCATTAATATAAATGTAGATGATGTGCTTCTTTCAAGAATTGACTGATTGGTCTAATTATTTTACCAACTGAAACTGTGTAAAAAATAAAAGCAGGATACGATATTAGCTTCAAGAGCGTCTGCACTGGAATAGCCATGAATGGGTGTTGTTTTTTTGTGATATATCCAAGCAGTTTAGTGGCCAATTGATTTTTAACCATTTGTTATTAAAATCAATATATTGAGTATACATGCTTTTTTCGCTCTTTTCTGTTATCAACGTTCGATGAATCACAAAGGGTTGTTTAAGCCTCACCAGAAAAAACGGGGTTTCAAATCACACCCGACAGTATACAGTTAATAGTGCTAAAATATAATAATATTAAAAATATCTCTGACTGATATTCGTTTATAAAAACAAATAGCACTAACTTTCACATCTTCAAATACAAATTAATATGGTAATTGTTAAGGTGTCGAACCGATAAATTGTCTTTATCCAAAAATTTTACGACGCTGCTCACGCTCCCGGTCACCTGACGGAGAACGGATAAGCATTCTCAGACGGAAAACTGATACGCATTCTCAAGAGAGCGACGGTTTAAGATTTAAGAAATAACAAATTTTGATAATCGTTCCAGATGATACAGGTTATGTATGAGGAATAAAAGTAAATGTTCATATTTTGGAGGTAAAGTTGTGAATTTATATCAGTTCTGAACCATGTTTTAATGTATACGAAAATTTGAGATCACGTTGGTTACGAAGGAGGAAACGCGTTGAAAAATCAACTTTGCGTACAAAGTTTTGTTTCCTTATTACTCTAAATTTATGCAAAAGAACATGTCTTAGTTCCCCGCTCCGACACTGATAACATGTCTTAGTTCCCCACTCCGATTCTGATAACATGTCTTAGTTCCCCACTCCGACACTGATAACATGTCTTAGTTCCCCACTCCGACACTGATAACATGTCTTAGTTCCCTACTCCGAAACTGATCACTTATATGCAACTGCTGAGTCTAAACAGGTAGATGGATCACAACATACCAGGATGTCAATAAATTCTATACTAATTATATGGATATAGCCACATCGATTATCATTCATCATCCAACAATGCTACGTACTCAATTTTTATGTAAGAATCAGTAAAAATTAATATCAGTTCAAATATCGATCAAAAATACCAATATTCTGTTGGTATCTGTGCTAATTATGGAAACTAAACTCTAGTCATCTTTGGCACATGATGAATGTCGGCGTTCCTAATATTCTTCTGAGGAACGAAAAGCTTAAAGAACACAAAACAACATTTTATTTGAATCTATAGAGAGATTTAATACAGAAAATGTATTAAAATAAAAAACAATTATACAAATGACATTTGAGTTAGACATGAACAGAATATGGAACAGAATATTGTGGTACATTGCTCTATGAAAATATCTCGAGATCTGTTTAACATTTGCATCGCTAAATTTTCGATGCATACACCCTTGCTCGATCTATACACACTTGTTCGAAATACGAAAGAATTAAACTACTCGTATTATAGTCATTTCAAATGAGTTTGCAAACTTTTACCTCAGACATGGAAACTCAAAGTCAATTGTTATCAGCTTGACTGCGGTATATCTATATATCCTACTATACAAACTACTGAAACATTGGGTTTGAGACATTGTTTCTTCCTACTGTTTTCCACGTCTCGACATCATCGACACAGAAATGGACTGGAAAAGTATCCTATGAATTTAATCTTTTAATAATGAAAGGCAAATGTAAACATCCATGAGTATATAAATGTCATATCTTGTTTATAGGAAATATCAAATATATTCATACAGTGGAGTACTAAGGGTAAATAGTGCCCGGGGCGACGATGAAGGCCCAAAGGCGTTTTTGCATCCAAAGACCCCTGTTGCCCGTGGGCAATTTGAAACTTTTATGTTTTTCGAATTGTAATGATTTAACAGAATCAACTAAGCAAATATTGCTTTACTGTACGAAATGTTGTCCTTTGCATCTACCTCTCCGACTAGTACGAACAGATGACCTTGAGATGTCAGGTCATCTTTTATCAAATGGAGCTACCATAATACTGAATCATGGAATCATCATCCAACATTAAACCACCATACATTTGGTGTCTGATAAGAGAACAGCGACAATACAGTTTTGTCCAATAGTCTCTCTCTCTCTCTCTCTCTCTCTCTCTCTCTCTCTCTCTCTCTCTCTCTCTCTCTCTCTCTCTCTCTCTCTCTCTCTCTCTCTCTCTCTCTCTCTCTCTCTCTCTCTCTCAATATCAGTGCTTTGTTTGTATTCCACGACTTCCACGAAATTCTAACAATCACACAAGTCTTCTCTTTATGTATTCATACCTTTAATGTTTACATTTTTGAGACCTTTTATGGATCAAATGTAATACATTTAAATAAAGCTGTAGCACGATATTGCAATGGAGAGATTCGCAAAGCCCTAGGTTTATATTGAACTCCAGCATGGCTTGATAATTAGATTTTGTCTTAGCTTTATAGCGTTATGCACATTATATCATTGCCTATGCCATGGTATTTATTGTCATTGGTCTTTAAATCAAATATTAATTTAAATTTGAAATTTTTCACTTTTTATTATTTGATACTCTAAAAATTAATAATTCATGTTTTTTATAACACAAAAAAGCAAGAAAATGCAAATGAATTTCAAATAAATATTTTGTGGAAATAATGAAGAGCAATCTTATGAAAATCTGCATTTAACGTGTTTGAACCCTCCATATTAAAGAGATAAAACGTATCAGTGATACTAGTACATCGGAGGCTCTGATAAATAGTGCGGCTAGTCAGGAGGCTGGTTTGTGTTGACTGTAATGTCATATACATTAAACCATAGAATGTTGTTCCAGGGAAGTGGTTTATGACATATCCAATGTAAACACATTAAATCTTGCATGAGGTTTGTTTTAATTTAAACGGTGATTCGTTTTGTCCCGGGGATTCAAGTTCGAAACGATTTAAGACAAGATTAAGCCAGAAAGACGATGTTATGATCGATTCATTTATCACTTAAAGCAAATAAATCATCCATAATCTGAGGAGAAAATTAAAAGCACCGGTTCCTAATTTGGCTTCAGCATTAGAAATATCTCACTATATATATATATATATATATATATATATATATATATATATATATATATATATATATATATATATATATATATATGAGGTATGGGCGAACTGTAATAACCAGTTTCAAGTTAATATTGCAGCGAGTAACTATAAACAAACCGACCTTTGTCATCAAGAACAGCTTCCATTGTTTGAAGAATTGGTTGATTGATTAAATGACTGACTAAAATTATTCAAATCATCAGATAAAGAGAATTATAATTGTTTTATTTTTTTAAAAAAAATGCTTGATACGCGTTTCCTGTGCGATATTAGCTTCTATGGCGCCAGTACTTGAAGGGAAGTACTTTCTTGCATTATGAGTGATATCTTCACTGGCCTATTGGCTTTCAAGCATTTGCCACTGACATCAATCAGAATAAATTAACTTCAGTTCTTAACCTTGATTAATAAATATCAATACTTCTTTTTATAACTTTGCTAATTCTGGAAACCAAACTCTTCGTCATTTGTTTCATTGTGATGGATGGTAATTTTCCTACTATCATTTTAAAGAAAGAAAATAAATAAAACCAACAAAAACGTGGTATCTATATCTATATAGACGCATAATATAGCAAATCTTCAATTATTATTATTATTATTATTATTATTATTATTATTATTATTATTATTATTATTATTATTATTATTATTATTATTATTATTATTATAATGCATGTATGGCCCATCTCGCACAGATTCGAAAGGTATTAAGATGTACAGTATTCACATTATGTTTAAAAAAATATTTGTTTACGGAAGCTTTGGGACTGCAACAAGATTTTTAATTTTGCTTATTTTATTATTGTTTGAAAAGATATCACCGTTGTCAATGTTTTAGCGCATTGTAATGCCTTTGTCTACAATCTATCAAAGCCCTGAAGCGAGCGACACACGTCACATTTTCTTCCTAATCCGACTCACTGATTAGCAAAACGAATATAGCGTGCTCTTCCTGAGCATCCACAAATATCGGATTTTCTTTGCGAAACAAATACTTGAATATGTTAAACAACTGAGACACTTGTTTGAGATATCAAAGATCAAACTTAACCAAAAATTTAACTGCATTGACGTGAATGAAAATAAAGCAAAATGGCATGCATAAAGTAACCAAATTTTCATGAGTACACATTTGCATATATTTCAAATCAAAACTGTAGATAATATTTAGGGTTTGTATACTTCAAAGTTTAACATAAACAATCTTGCAAAAAGCAGAGGCGAAGAAAAAAGCAAGTTATACTGAGATCCTCAAAAAACCATTATTAAAAATGTATTATTAGCCAGTAATAAGTTTCCCGGGATCGTAAAAGATTATATCAGAAATCATTTAAAATGGGGGTCTCAAAAGATGATATTCGAAAGCATTTAATATGGAAGAGGGGGTCTCGTTCAATTTTCACATTTAACAGATACTTGATCGAAGTAAAACGCATTCTAAATATTTTACCAAATATGCATATATACAGTAGTCGAACTCTGTGTGTGTGTGATTGTGCGTGATTTATATATTTAACGTAGCTTTAACAATATTTTAGTCCTAATGCTACGATATCTGCAGTGTGACAGTTTATAGTGATGTCTATCACTGGGGCATCACGCCGCAGACATATGATATGATGTCCCAGACAGTCATATTATCCTGACACCAGGCCGACCAGTCCTAACACTAACCTCTTAATGCTGAGTGCCAAGCTAGGCGACTGTTAGTACTAATTATTTTAAAGTCTTTTGTATGAATCGGCCTGGGTTTTAACCCGCGACCTTCTGTATCCAAGGCTGACGCTCTAACCACTAGGCCACATGATCGGTCTCGAACTTTGTATGCCTGTTTCTATTTCTGTGCTATTCTTTCCAAGTCCTTTTAAATTCATTAAAAATAAATGTTTCCAAAAATGCTTTAAGAACGGTTATGTGCAAAATCCGCAGCAGAAAATATACTACACGACTTTCAGAGATCACCAACAGCCACACACCTTCCACACGTTTGTTAAAGAAATCTACACATTTCGCCCGCTAAACTGCGACATTAGGAATAACTGTCTACACGTAGCGAGAGAAAAGTCCATCAATAGGTTAAGCACCGGTAATATTTGTAACACTACCACCATATCCGCTTTAAAGCAAATCATCTACCATCATTTAATTTAACACCAGCAGAATTAATGCTACTGACCCAAATAGTAATTTGCGACATAGCTAAGAACTCGTTACATAAATTTACAATATGTGTTGCATAACTAATTATTTCTTTCTTATCTCCTTTATAGGTTTTAAGATAAAGAAACGTCCGTAGTATTACATTTTTGTATTACATATTACAAATAAGTAAGGTCTTCAATAAAGTGAGGAATATATGCAAAAGACGTATAACGTTCATTTCACAGGAAGTACGCTATTAAAGAAGTTTATGACCTTCATTTGATATTTTTCCGAAAACTATTCCTTAGAGGACGAGTAGAGGAGGTCACGTCAGCATCGATACCTCATGTGACCTCGAAATCCGTTAATAGTTCTCATTTTATCTTCCCATATCTGACTTCTATTGTCATATATACTGGTAGTTTGATCTACCACATCGCAACTTTTGGTTTGCAAACCGAAATCCCTCCTGAAAAAAAAATATATGAAAGCACATAAGGAAATCTTCAACTGAATTATTTATATTAACAGGTAACAGTTTTGTAACTTCCGTTGTGAAAATGCCGATAGAAATTCTTGAAGAATGAACAGATGAGAAGTGACAGGCACCATGGAGTCTACTGAAAGATGGGAATACAAATATTTTCAAGAACGACACTGTCTTTACGAGTCATTTTAGTTAGGGAAGTAGGAAACAGTGCAAAAATGTTCGTAATATAAAACGGAGAAATGAACCCTAATGGAACTCCATGTTAAACAGGGTCAAATTGTATAGAGGATATAAAGTCAATATTGTATATATTGTTAGATGTTGTTGACCTTAATACTTCACAGCCGTACAGTAATTAATATCACACCGTAGGCTTTCTTTCGGTGGAGGCGATATATAGCTGTAAGGGAATTTAACATTAAAGAGATTAAGTTAATCTGGAATGTAGGGCCTCTAACGGAAATTTAACATAGAAATATAAAGGCCCATATATATGTTATCTGTTCTCCAGATTCCAACAACATACCATACCACATTGTACATACCACTGTTAATATCCCCAATGACGTATGTACTGACCAACACCAAGGCATTTATTTATTTCAAACACCATATTGTATCATCAGCAACCTGTGAGTAGTGACTGGTTATATATATATATATATATATATATATATATATATATATATATATCCGACGTTTACAAGTAAAGCATTACATTTAACTCATATCTTTTTAGAGGTGTCTGTAAATTTGCATTTATTGTACTGGTGTTATAAATAGCTTTAATAGTGGCATCGATCTTATAATAACACTAAAATTGACATGGCAACAAGTAATATAGAAATTCAGAAACTGTCAAGAATTTTAGAGGAGAGTAAAAAATAACGAACATAAGATTAAAATTACAAAAACTATTAATGCAATTTCTAAAGGTATCCGTACTTCAGAGGGGACTAAAAGAAGTTGGCGAGGAGTTATTGCGTATGCTATCCAATGCGTTCCAGATCCTGTTTTTGGTTCCAAGTTCACAATTCCAGTTTCCCATGTGCAGGGGATCGTCGAAGAAATTCATCCCAAATAAATACACATCGACAATGTTTGACTGGCTCAGTCATCACGAGTAAATAAAAATTGGTCAACGGGGTGGCCATAAGCGAAGACTGCTTCCACCCGGGAACCATTAGCTCTTTTCATTTCATTATGCGTCAATGAGAGACTCGGCGACCTCTAACCGCCATTTTCAGAGCCATCCAGGGTCTTGTTCCGACGGCCCCAAACTCAGCTGCTTTTGCAACCGCGGAAAACGCAGCCACCATCAACGCTGGATTGGAGGTGATGAATGGAAACTCTCTACTGTCGTGATTCATCCTGGCGTTGAAACCTAAGAATTATCCCATGATTTGAATGTTTGGCTGATTCAAAGTGTTGTGCCTGCGCCTTTGTCAACATCAGTGGGATGTTCCCAGATAACTTGTCGCGGGAATGTTCAAATGAACTCCGGTTACGCGGAAGAGATCTTTGCCAGCTGACAATGGTCCAACACGACATAATTTACGCGGAGGCAACATTTTATTTAAATTGTAATATGTTCACTTCCAACAACAAATTTACACGAGCGCATCAATGGTCTTTATTCGGCTATTTCAGCTCTGCAACATTAGGGTTTTGTCGGATAGTACCAGTTCCATGCATCTATAATTTACGTCCTCGCCTACCTGTGCTTTGAAGTGGATGCCTACTACATCTAGATGATCGAGATTAGGTAAATCTGGTATAATTTCGTAAAGTCTTCTGGGTAACCAGCAAGCCTGTGTCAATGTTTTTGTCACGACCCATAAATGTTAACACTCCATGATATACACTCGCGACTTGATTGCTTTGCTTGGGTGAGTTCTTAGTGACCACACGAGACTGCAGTTACGGCGAGTTTTGAAAACATAGAACTTACTCGTTGGATTTCCATATATTTTATTTTAAATGTCCCTAACACGCTCTATGGTAAACTAGCACATTGTTCGTTACTTATTTGCCTTGAGAACTCTCCTTTTAATGGTGCTTGGTGTCAAGTCTATAAACATCGCGAGGCATGAAATCGTAGATGTTCCGCTAGAAGTATGATTGACGTCAAACAATCGTTTATGGCAACTGTTGGACTCATTGATGCAATCCAAAGTGTAAGTTCGGACAACATATCTCTGCTGTCGGCGACATCAGCACTATGTCAGATTGCATCATTCGTGTGGTTTTAACGAGTTAATGTGAGTATGTTTTGATCCCAGAAAATATCCTTACGAACGTTCCATCATAATCTAAACATGTGAGAGAGTGGAATTATGCAGGGAATCTCGCATTGCTCATTAATCACTGTGTAAAGACAAGTTTAATATTGTTGTTAGGAAACACATTTTCTTTAGTATTTAGAATGGCAGAAATAAATTACCGAGATGTGTCCTAAACGTGAAGTTCTATTAACCCAACGCATCTGGCATAATAGCATCGTGTGCGTAATGTTGGTAATCTTGAACGCTTCTATTTCACAACACCAGTGAGACCATACGCCACGAGAGATAGGATACATCTCTGAACTGAATCATTGTTTACACAGTATATCTTCGTCATATATCTTTTGCAGGATTCCGTAATCTTCTCCCTGTTACCAGATTTGTAATCATTGCATCTGATTTGGCCTAGACGAAACCTTATTGAGCTGCTTCATTGATAAATATATCAATCATAACTGGCATTAGTGTCATTGATGGAAGTGTAACCGCCTTCCATTTAATCTTAGCTTGTCGAGCCACTAATCGTAGCAGTAATTTTTGAATCATTTTAACCGCCTGCGATTCCAGATTTTTTTAACAGATCTGCAACGGAGTATGCAATGTTTTCAACAACTCGCATCGAAACTTGATTAACGATCGGTGAACTTTCAAAATTCTGTCATTGTAGCAATGTAGCTCGTTTACCATTATTTTGTACAGATTCAAGTGTAACGGAAACAATAACTGCATTCTCTACGACATGGACATTTCTACCATTGATACCTGAATGCTGTAAGAGCGTTTGGTTATTGCGAAAGTTTTCAAACGGTCAGACATTTTTAAACTACCCACAACAAAGAAGAGTTTCGACGATAGGAACTTTATCTACAAAGTTTGAGTGTCACAAATATCACAAGAGAACTAAGACTTACAAGATTACAAAAAGACTTTTAAAAGAATTATTACATCAAGAAGAGAATTCGTCAATACGTGTGGTATGAAAGTTAGTGACTGGCATTCTTTGATAAGATATGCCAAAGAATTCCATTTGACAAAGGTTTGACCATTTCCTCAGAAGAAACGTTCATGTGATTGGTTAGTTTAGAACGTCCACTCAGAATCTACATCTATAGCTGCGTGAGCCAATTAAATGCGTGGAATGAAGTGAAACGCAAAGAAAAATTGCACATGAAAATGCAGGTATATTTTAATGATTGGATGCTACAAGAAGACCGATTACTTTGAAAATAGTAAAATAGTCAGAGACTGATCAAGTATGATGACATTATCAGACCTACAGTGTCATGACTTCAGTCATCAGAGTTACAACAAATTTCACGGGAAGAAGTCAATGACAGAGTTCAAGACTTTGTGGATTAACATAATCTTTTGATAGCACCGATTATAGAAGACGAGACGATTTCGTACAATTTCGGATGACTTATAGTATTGTATCTTAGTGACTACCTATCTTGGAATTTATTTACTAGTAGGCAAATTTAAGAGCAAACAAGTTCTTGCTTTTTTATCAGTCACAAGATATGTCTTTGAAATATGTCAGCTATCTCATGTTTTAAGTGTCGAATTCAAGACCTTTCCGGTTACCATCATTCTATCAGTCGTAAATATGTTGTTAGTGTTATACCAAATATATAAAATGTATAAAATATCTTGTGTCGTTTATGCAATTACAACTTCAAACATGTGTCTGCATCCTCCGATCTGAAAGTGAATGATGTTTTTTCTCTATAACATGTTGATTGCTGGACATAGTGGTTCAGGCAAACCAGATTGTGTCATTCATGTGACTGAACACAAAACAGTGTTCGATCATCCTCCATGACGTATCATGTGGTGTTAAAACGAGTTGGAAACGGCTTACACATCGCTGAAAGATAGTCAAGGAGAAACCA